TGGAACTGTTGTAGCTAGAGGTCTGAAATTTTCTGCATTTGTGGTTGACATGATGTAGAACAAATATAATACAATAAAACCTGCTTTTTCTCAAGAATGTCTTTATTACTGCTGTTCAAAAAAGACCTATCATTTCCGAGAATAAAAAAAAACAACTTTGAGTCATCCTTGAACTGATGCAGGTTGGTCTGTGTTCTAGTCACCCAATTTTAATGTATATATTAGGAAACTAGAGGGTGTTAGCTTTCAAAAAAATTATTGTACATGTAATTTGGGCTTACAGTTCCTAAGTTATTTGCTTTTCCATTTGGGTATGCAAAATAGGAGAGGATTACCCAAAATGAGGTGGATGTTAAGAGATTAAAACCTATGGAAAAGGTGTGAAAAATCTTTGGTCAAAAATGCTAAACCCTTTGTGAGGGTTTTGTAATAAAATAATTTTATGCTGGTTTGAGTTAGATAAATGTTTGCACCAAATTGCATCCATAAGATGGAAAACATTTTAGAGTGACTGTAATGGAGAGGGTGCTATGAAGCTTTTTTCTTATTGGCAGGCCAATTTGTGAGACTTTCAAAAATGTAAGAAATTTTGCCAGTTTTCAAAGATTTTCACATTTCAAAGTCTTTTAAGCATAAATTTTAAAAAGCCTGTTTTTTTAATCTTTGGTGTTGTGCCTTAATTTTTTAAGTTACCTTTGGTCAGGTGTGGTGTGGTAAATTGTTAATAATGAAATTCAGGTTGCATATGCATTAGGTAAGGCATGTTGAAAGTCACTGAAATGCAAAAACATTCTTCATCGTGCCCACAAACACAGTCGCTTAGAAGGCCAGAAGTCGTTATTTAAACGACACGGGTAGATTTACACGCAGAGCTCTTTCCATGATTGAAAAGATTTTTTGTTTCCGTTTCATCCTGCTCAGTAAGCAGCTTTACAAAGTCCCAATATGCCTGTGACACTTTCTGTTTCTTAAGGTCTACTGTGTGTTTAGTTTCTATTTCATTGTCAAACAGTAAATGATCAGGGCTGTAACTGATGATTCATCAATAACTGAACTTCTGCAATATTTTAGAGAACGAAAATGCATTACAGAAAAATAGAAATCTTAATATAAATGCATGCAATTGCTCCCCCAATAATGATAGAAAGTGTGGTAAATTATTTAATAACTAGACTGACCTTTAGTTACCACAGATAGACTGCTGATAAATAGAAAGAGCACATTGGCTGACAGACGATGGAGCCAATGAGGAATAGAGGAAGTAAAAAGGGGGCGGGTGGGAGAGTCGGAGTGAAAACTGAATTTGACAGGTGAAAGAAAGATGGAGGTAGATAGATGAAGCCTCCGGAAGCTGTGTGTGGTCACTAATTAGGAAAATGGTTCTACAAGGTGAAATGGGTCATGTGTCCTTTCCCTTAGTCTTTCCGTTTCCTATAGAGGGGCTAATTAGAGCAAGTAGGATTGAAAGCGCTTCATGTCAGCAGATAAGGACCATTCAGTATTTTTTAAATACATTTCCTGTCTGTATATTATGCAATAACTCAATGCTCATGGCTTTTTCACCACTTTCATGTAACATTTTATTGGGAATTTAAGTGATAGACCAACAAAAGTTTATGTTTTCAATTCAATTTATCACTGTAATGTAGAAGGAAATGGTAAAAAAATAATTTGCTCTCAACAGTTCTAGAGATTTCAGGAAAATATTCAGATATCGGCTTCTCTTTTATTTATAAAGTAAAGCCAATATCTAAATATTTTCTTGAAATATCTAAATCTGTTGAGAGTAAATTACTTTCTTATAATTTGTGATTTGAGGTTGGTTTGCCTTAAAGTTATGTGTCTTGCAAAAGTCAAACACATTTCACTAACTTCATGCTGCATATATCACTCTATGGATGGTAAACTCCAGTCCTATAAAGATAATGTCCTAAAGTTCTGTTTACCTACTCCAACACTGATACATTCCCCCTCAGTGTGCCTTAAAATATAAAGAAAGCACATAATAAACCCTTTATTAGATTTAATTTCAAACCAGGGGAACATCTACAACATACAGAATGATGGCCCTTGATTACTGAAATAACAGAAAGTCATAAAGTTAAAGGAAAACGGTGCATGTAAAACAAGGTGTGTAGTTGTTTTCCTTTTACTTGAATACCTGTAAATAAAGTTCATTACCTCATTACCCCTAAGCCTTCAGAAGTCTGTAGGTTAAGTGAGGGTTTTTTTTCTTAAAAAACATAAGTGAACAAATAGGATTATGAAAAGGACAGGAAATAGATCTGCAAAAAAACCCTTTCGTTCAAATCAGACTTAGGATTTTAAACCATGTACAGGGCTTTGGACATCTCACAGTGATTGGTTTATTACACTGTTTGATAGAAGACAAGCGTTTGGCACAGGTGACATACCAAAACATTGGCTCTCTACAACAGCATTAATCACAGAAACAGCCAAGAAGCCTACGGTAACTGGAAGAGCTGCAGAGGTTCTCCGCTTAACTGCAGAAATAGTATGTGTTAAACAACTGTTGTCATTTAGCAATATAACATAATCACATTTTTATGGAAGAAAGACAAGAAGTAGACCATCAATACACTATCCCTGTGATAAATGATGGTAAAGCATCCTGTTGTGGTGAGAAAGCCACAAAATAGTATCTTCTGTAAATCATGTCCAAACATATATGCTCTCTGGGACTTTAAGTCCAAAGAAAGACCCAACTGAGTCATCAAAAAACTAGAGAGTGACTATTTGGAGATGCTCTCTGTTCATTTGTGCTTATTTGTAATAAAGAAGAGGGAAGTATTTCAGTCTGTAAGCTTTTGAAAATATAGATAAAAAAAAAACTGTGATCACTACTTACCCACTTAAAGAGCTTATCAAAAATGCAAAGCATGTTGCATATTTTTTATTTGAGAAGTGTTTACTGCGTATCCTTATTCTTCTATCCTCTGGCTATACAAGTCTTCGAAAGAAGAACAACAAAAGCTGAGGCTTGCAGTGCAAAGGAAAAAAGGATCACAGAAAAGAGGGAAAGAAGAAACAATCTTAGGAGGAGTGAAAGAGATTTGTAGGCATATGAGAGCAAAGAAGAGCGTGGAAATCAAAATATAACTCAAGGAGTGGTGGCAGAAAGATGGTGAGAGAAGAGGTTATGAAGAAGAAAATTGCAGCTGTGGTAAAACAGAAACAACACTTAGATAGGATTTCACTTCTATAGCTTGATGGCAGGGAGGGAAAAAACCTTCATTCTGTGAGTGTGCCTGTATGTCTGTGTGTTACATAAAATTTTTGTTTATGTGTAGAGGGAACCATTTTTTGAGGGTGTTGATAGCTTTGTGAAGCAGAGCTGAACAGTAGTTAAATATACTGGGACTACAGACAGATTGGGTGTGCTCAGCAGAAAGTTATAGGAGTTGAAAGCAGGGATTAAAAAATAGGAGCAGCTTTGGAGACTAATTTGGTGAGAGGTTTCTGGTGTTTGTGCCACAGAAGCCAGAAAATCTCCTGTTCCATTACCTCAATACAAAGAAACTAACTTCGTCTATGACTCTGAGCTCATGTGTGTGAACTTTAAGCAGCCAGAGTTTTAGGAGCTGTAACTAACAGCAGAAAAGTGTTTAGGATCATTTTCAGGGTCACGCTGACATCACTACTCCTGTTCTGGCTGTGCACATTTTAAGCTTTTATTTTTTTCTATTTTTCCCACACATGTATGATATCATTGAACCAGTTTTAGTAACAGAAAAATACTAACTGTGTGAAAACACAAAACGATGATTTCAATTATTAATGGAAAAACAGAGCAGGGTTGGAATCCTGGTTGTTTCAGGAAGGGCCTCCTTCATAAAATCCAGAGCCAGTTGTATTGACTCAGTGACGACAACTGAATAAGAGAGCAGACAAAAGCATAACAACAATCCAAACAAACCAGAAAAACCTAAAAAAACAAAAAAAAAAAAAAAAAGTTCTCTAATTAGTAGCTAATTACTAGCGCTGCCACATTTGGCAGCTTTAACTGCATTTGCAGACTAATGAGTGATATATATCTGTATAGGTATTTCTGCCATATTTGTTTTCTGGAAGAAGCTGTCCTTTAAGGTGATGCTGACACTTCCTGTTGGTTTTAAGACTGGACTTTGACTGGAACACTTCAACTCTTTTATTCTATTTATAGCATATTCAGAAGTGGACTTGTTGACAGGCTTTGAATCATCATCCTGTTGCATTGAGCTTAAGGGTTAATTGTTTCTTCTCAGTTGTTGAGTTTCTGCAGATCTGTACTTGATGTATTGATTTTTGTATCTCTTAGTCTGGTTGTTGTAATTAGGTTCTATAAACGGGATTTTCTGTCTGGTAAATTAAACAAAACTGGTTGATCCACCAGTAATACCTTATTTTTGGCCCTATACTTTTATATTGGGGAAGGCTTAGTTATGTTTTCTTAATACATAGGATTCTATCCATTTCCAACATGCTTATTCACCGTGAGGGGTGCTGGTGCCTATCTCCAGCTGTCAATGGGCGAGAGGCAGGTTACATCCTGGACAGGTCACCAGTCAATCGCAGGGCAACATATAAAATAAAAAAGGAAAAACAGACACTCACAACTAAGAAGAATTTAGAGAAGCCATTTAACCTAACAGTCATGTGGGAGGAAGCCAGAGTACCCGGAGAGAACCCACGCATGCACAGGGAGAACATGCAAACTCCATGCAAAAAGACCCCGTAACCGTGCTACCCACTGTTGCACTGAGCATATAAATAGGATTGACATGTGAAAATAACTTGACATATTTAATTATTAAATAGTTAGATCTGAAACATGTAACATTAAAAACTAACCTGCAGAAATAATCTAAACACTGGCAGTTAAAACCTCCACTTAAAACCTCAAGAGTTGAGGTAGTTTGTTTTTCTTTTATTCTGTTTTCATTCTTATGCCTATAAATCTGAGTTATTCTAACCATTTTAATTATACCATTTCCTCACAGAAATCACCACGCTGCCCAATACAGTGACCCCAACCACTCCCAGACTGGAACAGACAACTCCTGCAATGAAATCAGGTAAACACACGAATGTTTCTCAAAGCATCACTGCATTGACAGATAAGTAGATTTCTTACATATGATTATATTTCCAACTGTGTAACATCCAAGCACATAAAAACACACTTACTCTTTTAAGGTCAAAGTCATGATGTCACTGTGCACCACTGGGCCTCTGGGCTTTGAAGTCTGTTACATTCAGAGTCCCATAGGAAGCTCTGTTTGAGGGGGAAATAAGCTCTCACAACCGGAGGATCTTAACCTCCTCATGCACATTGACTCACACTGGGATATGATTTCACAGCTATAGGTCAACTGACTGTGAAGCAAGTAGTCTCCCTGGAGTTTATCTACAGCAGTAGTTGTTTATGTAGAATATCTTATCATCTAATTTCCCATCTATCAACCTCCCTTCTGATCCTTTATTCTTTTTTTGCCACTCGCCCTTTATTGCCTTCTTTAATTCTATTTTTACCTCTGCATTTCCTGATAGAATCACTTCCTCATATGTTGTATTGCATTTACATTTTTATTTTATTCTATTCTTCCTTTTATATTTGTGAAAATTCTTCTTTTATATAAGAAAACACAATCAATCTCTCAGCAAAATCAAAACAGAGGTAGGAATAAAAAGTGTTATTTTAAACTTTTCACTGATAATCTGCAATACTGAAAAATAGGGAAACCATCAGTTTGGTCCCTAGTTTGGATGAAAAAACACCCATATTCTTTAGTTTTCCATCATGATTTACAACAAGATCCATTTATGAGAACCATTGCCTTTGTTTTCTTTTTTTTTTAATCAAAATACCAAATCTGATTTTTCTTTTCTCTCTGGTGTTTTTAATCTAATGCATGATCTGTCTTTCTCTCTCAACCCACAGCCACAACTCCATCCCTGTCGGCCGTGTGTGACTTTGAGCAGAGTTTGTGTGGCTGGTCAGCTGATCCTCACACAGGTGTGAGCTGGTCCCTGCACATGGCCGGAGGCTCAACTGGACACAACACTCATGGGACGCGGCAGGACCTTTCCCTGGGATCAGACAGTAAGAACAGCCTTAAGAATTTCAATATAAAAATCAAAGCGTCTCAATCGTTACCTTGACTTGGTATGTTTGGATTTGTGAAACTGATTTCTGGTTATTATATGTTTGATATTTAACAGCAAATGAAGCTTATGTTTAATCACAGTTAATGATGAAAACACAAAGTTTCTCTAATTTATGTTTCTAAATACTGGTAACACACAACAATTTAAATAAATTCAACAAACTTGCTAGTAGGAATTAAATTGATGAAAATTAGTATTTATTGACCTATCTGCTGACCTCCAGTTTAAAGAAACCTGAAAGGCTTAAGACTGAAAATAAGTCATTGGAATTTTATCTAGTTCAGACTTTTTTTTTTTTTTTTATAACATCATTTTGACCTTTTTAGCTGTTTTATAAATGTTCCAATCTCTTTTTCCATTTAATCTTAGTTGTTGAAAACAAAAGGTTTTTCAAACATAAGTAAAAGATTGTGTATTTGTACATTTGGTATTCAGGTAGCTAATGTAAGAGCTAAGACTAATAATAGATTATCCATTCAATATGCACCTAAACTAGCATATTTTACCCTCCGAGGCTGGTGTAATGGAGATCCAAGTGGGACATTTTATTACCCAACATACAAACCATAGATAAAATGGAGGAATGTGCTCCTTTTTCAGTGCAATGTTTTTTTTATGCCCCTCAAAGGGTTTTTCGCAGTGCTCACATAACAAAGTGCAATCTTTTACAGTTTTTTTTTAAGTAAGATACAAAATAAGTATTATAATTAGCAGCAGATCCTATTAGTTGTGTTTTTATTCCCCTTTTACTTCAAACCACAATGAACTCCGTTCTGCTCCGTCATCTTAAACATATAGAATACACTCTGAAGCCCTGTTGTTTACCCTAATTACTGTTTTCACCTGAAACCATGACTAGAATTAAATTTTGGACAGGGTTCATGTTGCATGCTTTTAAAAAAAAAAATAATTATCACATAAATAACTTTAACTATTTAGTGAGGTCAGTGGCAGACATGCTCTTTAGACCTTAGACTAATGTAAACCTTCCATCTTTTAAAACCTCTGCAGGTTTAAAACACTGTATTCCTCAATTTTATATTCAAAACTTCAAGCTGTTTGCAAACGTTCTTCATTTCAATAAATTTCTCATTCTTCAAGATTTCTAAACAAATTTTTAACCTTTCTTAGAACAAAGCTTTCTTGGGCTAATTAACATCAAAGTGTTTTTCTGGTGGAGAATTTCCACACGTCTCAGTGCTGTGAGGAACTACTGGAAGCAACCATGATGCAAGGATTTCTCTCTGATATGCTGGAAGTGCGCACTTAATTAAAGTTCAGGAATAATGCTGGATTTAAGGGTTTCATTTTCCATAACCTAGTTTACTGAGTTGTTTTTAAGTTCTTTTTCCATTTTTCCTTATACAGTACAAAGCAGAACTGCTTCTCTGTTTTTGTTTTGTTTGTTTTGGTTATCACTTTTTATTACGGGTATGCCTTTTATATACTTGTTGGCCACTTTATTAGCAATAACTGTTTTATTGTTGTTAACAATAATTTGTAACAGAAATTAACAGCATTAGGTTATCTAGAAAGAGTCAACCTGAATTGTCAAATTTCAAACTGAGCGTTAAAATGGAAATTAAAGTAGATTTCTGTGTTTTAATATTTCATTGTTGTTGGTCCTAAACTGGCTGGTCTAGGTGTTGTTTTTCCCTTCCGATTTTACTGCTCAGTCATCTCTAAGGTAGAAAGAAAACGGTATGGAAAATAGAAAATTCCTTGAGCAATAGTTGTGTTGTAAATAATGTCCCGTTGATCTTAGAGGTTAAAGAAAATGGGCATAGTGATGTGAACTGTTACAACCAAAGTTAAATACCATCTCTGAATACACACACATCAAACCAGCAAAATTTTCCACAAGGTGACATTTCTATCAGCTAAAATAGATTAAAAAATAAAATAAAACAAAACTGAGGCTACAGTTTAGAGGCTTACTAAAAATGGACAGTATTATTTTGGTAAAATTTTGCCTGATCTGGTAAGCCTTAATTTAATCTGCACTGGTTAGATGATGAGGTCAGAATTTGGTGCAACAACCACAAAGGCTGAAGGATCAACAGTTCGGTTAGAGTTGTTGGTATCATGAAACGAGGAAGGGCATATTTTGGCATGTCTTGGAGCGTTTAGTTTCATTTTATACGTATATCCATCAAACCCCACCTGAATATTGATGCTGACCATCTTTATGCCTTTATGGTCCCTGTTTATCATTTTTCCACCACGATGATGCACCAGGTCACAGATCTTAGATAAGTAGCATGTAATTTCATCAACATTACCATAAACTTAGTTAACAACGTGGTATATTTTTGTCCCTTATAGTTATCTGGTTTGTATCCTCTGCTCTGCCTTTCTTTTTTTCCCCTTTAACTGGCATACATTTTATTTCCCACTAATATCCTTATAAACTCTCTCCATTCTCAGTCTTCCTCATCTCATTTTTTCCTGTTCCCCTTACGGCACCATGCCTCGTTCAATCCATCCCTCTGTTATAAGCTCTTCACCTCCATTTCAACTCTTACTGCTTTGTATAATTTTAGCATTCTCCCTCTATTCTCCACCTCCAGCCCTCTTTCTCCATAAGTCAAATTGCCTTCTCTCCTTGCTGACCTCTCTTCCATTTTCCTGAGGTACTTGCCTTTTCTCCACATCTGTGCATCTTTAATAGGAGAGCAGGATGATAAGTAAGACTGTTTTATCAATCACACTCATCATAAAGCTTACACATCTATAAGGTGCACACACATTGCCCAAAGCAGTCGGATGAGTCAGTTGATAGCTTTGACAGAAGTGCTGCCTTTGCTCTCAAGCTTCCACTCAAGGCTTCACCCACCCATCCACACCATAACTTTACCCTCAGACTCTCTATGTTAAACATTCAAGGTCTCTAGGTTAATTTCCCCCCCACCCCCCACACACATGACCTTGCTACGTAGCAAGGTTTTACTTGTATCTGTTGAAACCATCAGGTTCATGGTTGGCTGAGCAGCTCCTTCATAAACAACCTAAACCGTGACACAAGGCAAAGCTTGATAGCCTCTCTCTCTCTGGGCTGTGCTCTGCTGTGTGTGCTTCTTACTATGTTTATGCGATGATGTGAAATTGACTTAGCAGCGCCCCTGTATCCGTGTTTGACAGCAACATGACATTAAGACTTGTTCTACAGCAACATTAGCGTGGCACCCCGTCTGCAAGCTGTCTGTGTATGCAAATCAGATCTGAAGCCCCTGCCATTAATAGTTCTTTTTAGGGATTTTAAAGTAGAAAAGACAACCAACACACAGCTCAAAGGTGGTGTTTTTTTTTCCTTTTAAATGTGCTGAAATTCCTCACATTGGTTTATATTCGTTGTGAATTTATATTGAGAAAAACTATAACCTCAATGCTAAAGAAACAGACCAAAGATTTTTACTCTTTCCCTTTCTTTGTTAATCAACCACCTTCTGCGGTTTGCCTAGGCTACCAGATAAAGTCCACCATTAAAAAAAATGACTACATCCTAATGATATTGCCTGTTTTTGTCTTTCGTGTTCTTTTTTAAACAGTTAAAAATAAATGTTGACCATTACAGAAGCTATTTAATGACTCTCCTGTTTACTATAGAATGCTTCCCACACTATTATATGTGCCTTGGGTATAAGTTGTGTAATAAATGCATTTATATCGCTTAAATACTTTGGCCAAAAGGTGCATACATATAGTAAATTACAAAACAAGCTGCTTAGACATATATGATGCAAACTCTAAAATACAAACGTAAATAACAAATGCAAAAAAAAAAAAAAACTGCAAACAACAAAGAAACGAGCTACAAACTGGTGAAAAGGTGCAGCAAATGGTGAAATGAGCTGCAAACACACTTTTGATCCAAAGTAAAATAGAAAAATGCTGCAAACAAGCAACTAGGAGTCGAACAAAGAACAAACTATATTAAATCTGAGTATTACTTATATTACTATCCATAACTTAAATGACAAGAAAATGAAAGATGACAAACGTCTTCTTTCTTCTTCCAGCTTTCTTGTTTATCAATCATATGTTAAAGCTTATCTTCCTATTTGTAGCGAGGGTTTGCTCTGATATTATTTGTTCTTCACTTTTTTTTGCATTTGTTTGTTTTTGCTTGCATGTTTTGGTGTTTTGGTGCATCAAACATCTTTTTGCAGCTAATTTCCTCGTTTAGTGCACATTTGCACCTGTCGTCCACCGTACCTGACTCCTACGTAGCTAGACTTAGTTGCCATTTAGATGCATATTTTTCTTTAACTCTGCAAAGTAAGAATAGATATCAGCATTGGCGTAAATAAGTGTTTTAGGTTTAAGCATCAGTACAGTTAGAGTGGTTGGTGTTGCTAACTCTAATGGCAGTCTGTATTTTTTATATTGTGACCATTCTTTACTTTTAGTGCGAGTCTTACAGCAATCCTCTGAGCTCCAAGGCAGATAGGGCTTAAAAGTTCAAAAGAGTAAACTAATCCAACCTTCTGATCAACTTATCCTCTAGTTTTTCTATCATTGCTGAATTTTGTGTGTGCCTTTCTTTTTGAGCAACAAACACGTATCAGAGTAATGTCCAGTTCAAGAATAAAGTGTTTTTTCATTTATAATCCAAATATAGATTGAATTTAGTCAAAGATAGCCTCATAGTAACCATTTTAAATCCCAGAAAGCTTAACTAAAAGCTGGGATTTCAAGGAGTTTACATTTAAGTTCTTTTGATTATGACAAAACAGAGAATTTTTCAGCAAAGTGCCTTAAAGTTCAACCATAGTTTGTCTTTGATCTTGTCTTGTTAAACAGTAAGCTTGTGCAAAAACACATGAAACTCACACAGCAGCAATGCATTCTTATATTATACTGCTTAGTGCAAGTCATGCTTATGCGCAGCAATTGATGGACAAACCACAAACACACAAACAAAGATGCAAAAATAAAGAAAAAGATTTAAAGTGGGGCCACCACACATGTACAGAGATAGTGGCAAGACGTACAGGATGTTTTTCTTCTTCCCCCAGAGCCAATTTTACATCCCTCCCCATTTCTCCCATGGAGAGATTTTAATTAATTCCTACCCTTTGTATGTTAGCCAAGATCAAACGTGGAACGACAGAAAAACACTGCAACTTTCCCCTAAGTGTACTTAATGAGCAATGGTAATTTAGGTCCTCCTTTTTTCAATGCCTCCCAGAGAAGAGCTGAGTTACCTCAGATCTAATGCATTATTTATTGAGCACAGAGCGCTGCCAAAGCTGTTTCTGGAAATTATGATGGATGGATGGATGGATGGATGGATGGATGGATGGATGGATGGATGGATGGATGGATGGATGCCTTTTCTTTTGAACCTCTCATTTATTTTTTTTCTTTCAAAAGCAGTTAGTTTTCCTACTTTAAACCAAACTGATTAATAAAACTGCATTTTTTGGAAAAGACAAAAAAGATTACCGCAAACAGAATGACTATATTATAATACTATATTGTATGTCAAATTTGGAAATTTTGTTGATGCTTATGAGGTAACTTGTTACACGAAGTGGGATGTATCATATAAAAAAGTAGTATAAAAGTAGTGTAAAAAATATTTGTTTTATATTGTTTTACTAAAATACAAAGTTTTAGCACTATATTTATATCAGGACAGTAAAATGTTTAACTCAAAGCAATACACTCTTTATGCATTTCTTCGCTTTTAATTTCAGCAACTCTTCTGGATAAATTATAACATTCTACATAAAAGTTTTATTTACATTTTTTATTTTACATTTAAACAGCAGAGCCTATTGAAATTCTTACAAATCGAACCTTTTTCAACTGTTCAACTATTTCAACTATGTGGAAACATAAAAAAAACTGTATAATGTTGGATTAGATGCTGTCAATGCCTAATTTTACAAAAAAAAAACTTTCTCTTTACATTACAACATGAATTTAACAGAAATCTAACTTGTTTATTACAATATGTGTTTATTTTCAAAATGAATAAAATATTTTTATTAATCTTGCACCATATACAGCTAACTGTTATGCTTATGATGAGTTATCGTCTGATCTAATCTTTTCTTTGTTTGCTCTTTTAAATATTTAATGTTTATTGCTGTTGAAGTTACTTTTCACTTTAAAATCTGTCTAAAATGTTTGAAAAAAGGTTTCTTTTTGTGGTCATTGCCTTGTGTCACAGTCTCCTTTGTTTCTATCTTACCAGATTTTTCAGGGAACTACCTCCACCTGGATGCAGGCACTCACACCCAGCGCAAGAAAGCCAGACTTCTGAGTCCAGAAGTGGGGCCAGAACGTGGTCCTCTCTGCCTTCTCTTCTATTACCAGCTTCAGGGGGAGGCACAGGGGAGCCTCCGAGTCTTGCTGAGGGACGGTGACCAGGAGGAGACCCTTTTATGGGCACTAAAAGGCGAGCAGGGGCCCAACTGGAGGGAGGGAAGAACTATCCTTCCCCAAAGTCCCAGAGAGTATCAGGTAGGTGGATGCTGACCATCTTTCTGGATAAAGAACGTGATGTCCTTTTAATGATCGGGAATTATGCTTTTACACTTTCTTCAGATCTTTATATGATTTAAAATACTGGCATAGTATGTTAAAAAGTAATTTTGTCTGGCAAAAGCAAAGTAGGAAACATTTCTGATCTCTCTGTTGGTCTATGACATGTAAACCCAAGAAAATATGTTACTATTATTGATTATATTATTTGTCGACGTACAGGAAAAAAGAGCTGCAATATAAACTAAGCTCTAAAAATAATAATTAAAAAACGTGAAACTTCATTTATTACGTTATTTTTGCAAAAGAAATAATCTAATCCAAAATTGGATAAATAAATATATAGATAAATACAATGTTTAGTTTGTTTTATGGAAAACACAATAGTATAAAATGCTGAATCTGAATTAAACATTATCAAAGCAGAAGACTGAATTACAAGATATTCTACCTGCCCATCTTTGGTTATGCAATATCAGTTGGTAAATGTTTTATATAGTCCACAGTATAGCCATGCTTTGGTGCAGAAATTTGACATTTCTGCATAAGAATTGAAACATTTTAACCAAAAGCAGTAAATCCCACATTTTTCCTTAATACACATTTAAAAAAAAAGTGTTAAAATTTCCCTGACAAATACAGATTCCTGGTTTTAATTGAGGTCTGACCTTCCTACTCATTCTTGGTTTTAACATTGCAAAAAAAATGTATAGTTAATCCAACAACAAATGAAACACTATAACATTACCCATTGTCAATTAAAGCAGTTGTTTTAAATGTTTATCAAATCTTAATTAAACTCGAACAAAACAATTAGAAAGTAAATGCAGAACTAAGTGAGAGTTATTTTCATGCTTTTAGTGACATAAGGGAGATCTGTCTTTCTGTCTTTCACTGGACAATCGTTATCCACAGCAAATCAAAGGAACATTTTCAGACCTTTTCAATTTGATTTGTAAATCAGCATTTTCTATAGAATTAATTTAATTTTGTCTGTGTGTTTATGTTCCTGGTGTAGGTGGTTTTTGAAGGGTTTTTTGATCACCCAACCAGAGGCCACATCAGGATAGACAACATCTACATGAGCAACAACATTGAACTAGAGCAATGTGCAGGTAAGTCACATATCGGCTCCATAAGGCGCTACCTGTTTGATTTTGTGTTTACCTGCATTCTGAATAAAGAAGGAGAAATGTTAATAAAAGAATTCTAATGTAAATTTGCAGATGATATATATATATAAATAAGAAATGAATTTAGGCAGCAAACGACCTGTGGGCATGGATTTTAATCAATGTTTCATTATATCCGCCTCCATCTTTTCCTGTATCATTCTCTCCTGCTGTTTCTTCCTTCCTTTTGTTCCTTCTTACCCTCTTTGTCTCCATATTTATCCACCTCTAAAATCTGAAATGCTTCTCCCTAATGTGTCAGACATCATGCAGAAAAACTATGCTTGCTACATCCAGGAAAAACTCAGATTGTTGTGACTAAACAAACTTTCAAGACTGAAACAAGACTTAAAATTATGCAAAATGAAATTTACATGATTTAAACACCAAAATCTATTAATAACAACAATTTCTGTGGCTGATACTATTTACCTTCTTTTTCAATTCTATAATTATTAAACTGTCTTTTTTCATAACAGATGTAATGTTCTCTAACAGTTAATAAACAGCAGAATATTTAGGTTCCTGTTCCCATGGCCTTTCGACCATCCTTCCTTCCCAGGCCTCCATTTCCTCTCCGTTCACGCTGTCCTGTAACCTTTTTAACTTTTCTTCATCCATTTCCGCTCCTCTTCTTATGATGTTTGCTGACACTAAAACTTAGTTTATTAAACAATCAGGGTAGACAAATGTTAGAGTTCAGTGAGAGAAAAGAAAAGGAAGTTTCTGTTTCCCCCTCCTTGTATCTTTCTTAATACAGTTTTTGTTTTAAAAAAAAAATGTTGACAGTGACATCCAGAGGAAGCTAATTCATATGAATTATATATTCAGAGGTTTAAAATTCAATTTGTAAATGAACAATAGATCAAATACAATAAAACATGTAAATTAGAGACACGATATTCTTCTAACATTTCTGGTAACATCCTTCTTTCCCCTTCTTTCTCTTTCCAGAGCCTCTCCCTGCTTTAGCTTCTGGCATCCCCAGTAAGTTCTGCCTCTTGTGCATTTGTACATCCTTTGCCAATCTGTCTGTGCTTCCCGCTTGATGCTAAGCTAAGCCTGTTGCATTATTCTGGCCCAGAGTAGCATTTCTAAACCATGGGGAATCCCACTATTCTCAACAGCTCAACTCAAGTCCTAAGAGCCCTTAGAGATTTCTGTTTTTTATTGCAAAGGTTTTATTTGAGTACTGATGTGTCGTGGCCTGCAGCTGTCAGCACTTTTTGCAGTAGTTTTATGAAGGGTTCCTTACAAATGACTGATTCAGAATGGATCTAGGTAACGTTAAACAATTTTACTTCCCTAATTATGTTACCAGGTGCTCTACCATACACTACTTATGCGAACAAATAAAAGAATGAACATATTCTTATTTTTTTGTGATTTGGAAAGATGTTAGTCACAGGACAAATAATGATACATCAGATATTTTAGTTTGAAGTCAGAGAACTCATTATGTACTGCATCAATACACCCCTGAAGTTCAAATTCTGATTTAGAAAGTTGAGATTTTTTCACCAACCTCGAGTTTAAAATCCAAATAAAGGCAGTGACAGACTGTTTCTTTGAAGTCTCCAATAGCAGTACATCTAAATCTCTGTTAAAGTATCCCTCCAGGGTTTGAATAAAAAAACCCAGAGATACAGTACTCAGTTTCTCCTGTATTGTAGTAGTTAAGCATAAAAAATACAAATGCCACTTAATTTCCTAAATCAGCTGGTTGAGTTGTGTTTACAAGAATTCAGTATGATAAGGGAACATATTATTAAATTCGATATAATTTATGCTCACATATGTCAAAAATCAAAAACAGAATTAGATACGGTTTCCAACTTTAACTAGAACATTGTTTTATCATTGCAAGATCTAAGTTTTGATTTATTGAGATCTTTTTTGTTTTCCTTTTTTTTAATTTTTTTTTTATTTGTATTAAGTAATGTTGGCTGTTGCCTAAAAATGTAGCAGTTTTTAAAGGAACCAATATCTCTCCTAGTTTTTTTAAAATGCCGTATATACAGGAGTTATTTTATAAAGGTTTCCATCAAAATTAACCCAAAGAAAAAGGCGACTGCACGTTTTTTTAATACTCCAGATGCATAGGGGTAAGTGTGCCACAAAACTAAAACTTGACAGCCGATCAGAATGCTTCAAAAACAACCATGACTTCCTGTTCTGTCATGAATTATGGATCAGAATCATAGATCATCTCTAAACAAATACAAACAAAAACAGTCTGAAGCAATGTAAAAAATCAGCCCCTCCCTGATGAAATTCATTTTAAATCCAATTTTAAAATAAAATAACCAAGTATATTAAAAATGCTTGAACTTGTCTGACACAAGGAAGAAAATATTCGCCTCAGACGGTGATGCGCCGGTCAGTGATATTCATCTTTCCATTTACAGGCGCAGGCTCAAACCCCAGCTTTTATAAATCTGTGCTTTATACTTCATTTTAAGGGATGTAGAACACAGTTTATGAGTGGCTAAAAGGCATAACCGCATAAAAATTTGCAATTTGTACTATAATAATATCTGAAATCTATTGATCTCACTTTGGAGAAATGTACCTACATTTAACCCATCCCCTTGGGGAGCAGTGGACTGCATTGCAGGGCACCTGGGAAGCAATCGGGGGTTAAAGGTCTTTGCTCAGGGACCCAGAGTGACAGTTGAACAGAGTGGGGCTCGAACTTAGAAACTAAGGATTCCAAGTTCTATGCCGCATCCACTGGGCCGCTAGCCTGGGTGCCAGTCCGAACTTAGTCCCGCCCACAAGGTTTGAGTTCGGGGAAGTTCGGTCTGGCTCTGCTCCATAGTAGCGCGAGTATTATCGCCCACTGTCAGGCGATCCAATCAAATTGTCAGGGCGGGCTTTATACGATGATGGACAGATGATCAAGAGTAACGTTATCAACCACGTGACCAATGCGCGCTTGGGTGACAACAATAATGGCTGCCACTGGAGAGTTTGGGTGAGTAGATTCTGCTATTAGGTCTGTTCTAGAAGATATCGACAGCAAATTAGTTTTAAAAGAGGAACAGAGAAACGCGATCAAGTCTCATCTTCTTATTCTAGGCGTGAAACTGCACGCTTTGATTTTTGTGGACAACAACTATGCCTCGCTTAAGATACGTCACGCACTCCGTTGCTCTTATTGGTTGTAGGTCTATCCAATTGAGTGCAGAGGCATTTTTTTTCCTGGTTCGTTCAAAACACGCCCCATAATCACAGCTCTATGGAGCGGTATCAGACTCATATTCTGACTAGAATTGAGTCGGACTACGTCAGGCTACTGGGCCGTCACTCCCCCTCCTGATACTAGATATCCTGATTGGTGTGGACAAGGTCCCAGTCATGCAGAAAAATTTTTTTTCCTAGTGGGAGCCAACAACGCAGCATGCTGCCATCTTGAATCAGACGATCAAAGTTATTTCAGCATTTAACGATAATCATGCAGAAATACGAAACGAGGACCATGTTCTGGTTTTTTACCTGATGTGGAAAAGACATCCACAGGAACTTTGATGATAGTAAGAGAATTAAGTAGATCGCTATCATTGTAGCACCATCATATACCTGGAATATTTAATAAATAATATTGTTGTTTTAAACTTTTATAAAACTGTACATACTTTTTTCCCTTATATTAGCCTCAAGTGTGATGCTGCCAGCTGTAATAAAATCATTGACCTCAGCTGTGATGACTAAACGGTGACAGCTGAGGTATAACATCCCCCACATAGACTAGCTTTAATTTACTTTACTCATCAGAAATTCTATCCTATTCTCAAGACTGAGTTTTAATCGACTCCAAAGACATATTTAGGTTTCCACAAAGTTTGGATCAAATCTAAACAGAACCGTTGTACGATAATTCTTGTGATTGAATTGACTGCTTAACATTTTTAAAGGAAGTTGTGGGTATTTTACTGTAACATTACAGTAGTATAGGTTGATATGATCAGCATAAGGAAACAATGATGAGGGTTGATGGAATGGATCCACTGCATGAGTCCCTGCATGTTAGACTGATGCTCTTTGTGATGCACACTTGTTATGATGGAAATACATGAAGTTGTGTTATAAATCTGAAATAATTATCAGTGTATCATAGGATGTATATTTTACGCTGCAAAGAGGTTTATTTTTTGGATAGCTGGAGAAATATTTAATATGGATAAGTTTTTTGTTCCTTTTTTTGGTCATATAGGAAGTAAGTTTGTTTTTTTCTTCACACTGTCAACTTAATTCTATAACTTCCCTCCTTTTTGCTTCCTGTTTTCTCTCATTGTTTATTCTTAACTTCCTGGTTTGTGACAAGTCCTAAAAAGTCCCTGATCTCACCTGCATAAAATGCAGAGCTGATCAGCATCCAACTTTCATTTTTCTTTCTCTCTTTTATGTTGTTCCTTCATCCTGAAATAGCCCAGCCTGAGAGGAGATAAAAGGCTTACACAGATTATGCTCCCGGATTTCTTGTTTTCAAAGTCTGAGTTTGGGACGTGATCTGCTGGCTCTGCGTGTTCTGTTGTGTAGTGAGCTGACCGTGATGTTAAAACTTATCTAAGCCCTCTCAGAAAAATGTCAAAACTGAGTATCAGTGGTTTTAGTTGTACATCGCTTCAGGATGATTGCAATTGAAAATGCACTCTCTTTTGATCACAGTCAGGGTATTTGAACTGTCTAAGTAGAACTGTTTCCTACATCCAGATACCAGACCAAAAATGGTAGAAAGCCAAGACACTACTCAAGTCAGATGAGTCATGCCACAAGTATTTTATTTAATCCTTACTAGGTTTTTTACACAGTTAATTCCTGGACAGTGATCATATGACTCCCTTTTTAATAGTGGCACAGGTCCTACATTATATATTTAATGGGATTAAATGCCAGAAAGAAGGATTACATGTCTCCTTTGAGACGCTTGTTAACAATCGGACCCATCCATTATTGGTAATCTATAAAAGGCCCCAGTTTCATCCGTTGATGCAAATTTCTGTGTTTGAGTTTATGGGTTTCCCTCGGAGGTAAGATGTAAATTGTTTTTGTCACTGTTGAGAATAACTCAGTTAAACATTTTGCCTGGTTAGTTAAACAAGAACTCTGCAACTATTTACTATATGAAACACATCATTTAAAAATGCAATTTATCTGGATATCACATTTATACAAATAACAAATTTTAAGTGTGGTTGCAGAAGCTGTGGTAATGTTCAAAATGGATTCAAAGGAAAGGTCCTGCTCAAATATGTACACAAATATTTGTAATATTATCTTGGTTGGCCACTTGTGCTTGCTAAGCAGATCCTGTTATTTTGGTCATGACCCAAATTTCATGACCATAAAGGCGAGGATAGAGAAGTATCCTGATCTGCCTTTATAGAACTATTGATACCATAATATTGTCTCTTTGCCCACTAGAGGGAAGACAGCAGCTTTATAATCAAATTCAATTTAAGCTCTTAAGTAACACATCTACACCTTCAAATAAAGTGTAAATAAAGTCCACTATTTCCTTGTGATTCTGTATCCAGCTCCATCTTTTTTTTCTATTACCCTTCCCTTTCTTCTCCCTGGCTAGTTGTTGCCTGCCTTGCTTCTCTTTCATTTTTTTCTCCTCCTGGTCTTCAGTTCTCTCTATTTCTCTCCAAATCAACTTCTCTCTCACAACAGGTTTCTCTCACAGCGAGTTGACAGAGTATTGAAGTTTCAGTCAAGCCCTTTAATGCAGGATTAAAGATATCATGGCAGGATTAGCTTTTTTCCCTCCACTTCTCTACCCTCCCTCCCTTCTATCGTCTCACTTTCTACCAACTCCTCTCTGTTTCATTCCATTCTCTCCTCCAATAATACCTTCCCTCTTTTTCCTTCCCCCAACCCTGCAATTTTGTTCTCTCTCTCTGCTCAAATTCAGTTGCTCTTGACCCCCTCAGAACAGGAAAAAAAAAAACTCCATCAAGTGCTTAACATTCCCAACCTTT